ACAATAACACAACAGCTTCCAATTCATCTTGCTCTCGATAACTTCCATCAAAAAACACATTCAAGAGCAATGTGCCAAACCATCATGAAATCTGATCACCTATCACATGTAGGATGGTTTGTTGGTTTAAACAGTCAAGCAGCTGAACAAACATTTCAATATATATCTCGTGCCAAATTTGCATTACGCAATTTCTCATTTCCACATTCGACAATAATGCTGTTGATTATGCTGCATCTTCTGAACTGCAAAATGACTGGCATCAATTCAGAAACAATTGTCGTGGGATTTCTACATTTTGGTGATATAATCAAGGACTTGTTCGCGACACCATGCATATACGAACGTTTCGGCACGTTAAATGGTGAAGAGTTGAATAAAGATGAAAATGATGATCAGTCAGATCTTGATCATAATGTTACATCCGAAGATATGCCATAGTTTCGTTTACATTATTTTCTCAGAAATAATCTCCTATTGAACATATGAAGATCGAACTTTTATTGTAACCATAACTTTATGAGTATATTGTTCAATTTACTTGAAATCTACTCTTTGTTTTCTTCTTCCTTTGATTCTACGTTTGCTATGCAGAAATTGAAAATAAATACTTGGTTTGGACTGGTTTATTAGATTATTGAAGAATTTCTGAAATGCATTATAATGCATTATCCATAAGAGTTGCTCTACTATTAACTATTAATCATATTCTAAAAGATTTGTACTAATTAACACATTATCACATTGTCCATTGATTAAATATTTCGACGTTAAATAATGTTCACGTATTTTTATAAAATATAATATACAAATATTCACTGCAAATGTGCTTTTTATATCAAAAAATGATCTTGAAAACGATGAATAAATCATAAAAACCATATTCGATTGTGAGGAAAACAAGTAATTAATTCAAGTATTTGCAACGAATTTTTCTACTACAAAGGTAAATCTAATGATGAAAATTCACTTCTGAAATAATATGATGTTTCCGTTCCAAAGTAAGCAAAGTAGGAATCATCATTCTGTTCCGATTTTTGAACTTGCTTCAACCGTTGTAAAGCTGACACTATAGGAGCTATTTGTATTGAAAAATAAAATATTATTTAAATAATTTTGAAAATGTCAGCTAAAAGAATAACAAGAATTCTAGTCGAAAAGATCAAGGACCAACAAGTTCATTATCACCAACAATGATATCATCAAATAATAATAATAATAATAACAATAATAATAGTTCATCATCCTTACCATCAACAATTTTGTCATATAAGATATTATTAGAACATAATAAAATGTTACAAGAAGATATTCGACGTTTACGAGATGAAAATGAGTATCTTAAAAACAAATTGATGTCTAAGTAAACTATTTAAAAGTGTTTTTATTATTTATTATATTTATACGATTTTGAAATAGGCCAACAGATGATGCA